ATGTTGCCGGTTGTTATTATTTAGGGTCATCAAATGAGTTTATCAGCAGTTTAGATGACAGCTTGATGCCAATAAAGAAAGTTTTTCAGTACTTAGTTCAGCTGTAATAACCAGTCGTTGGCTATTTAAATTATGTTCTCTTTCTTCTGTACAGTCATATCACTTGTATGGTCGAAGAGATCACACAAATACGAGTCTTATACAGATTGTCTTTGTATGCTAATAGAAAGATTATACCGACAATTCATTTTTCTAGAACGAAAATACATAAATTACCTTTTTGTCACAGTGATAATCTTAAAAACAAAATAGTTTTTAATTTTGAGTATATGAAGTTGTGAGCAGACTGCAACTTATATAGTGTTGTTAGTTTCATAATTATATATTTTATTTCGATTAAAATATGAGTTGCTTATAGATGATTATTTTTGATGTATTATGTCACAAAAATTCACCTTGTTAAAAACTTAAAACTAATACATCAGTATTCATAATGTTTTAAATTGTTTAATTCATTAATTATATTATATGTTAGTTGCGGCTTCGGCTATAATGTAATTTCTATGGACTTATCTATCAAATATGAAAATCGATTGGTACAATGATTATAATTAGTTTTAATTAATAACAATAATAATATAAAATATTTAGGTATAATAAAAATTTATACATCATTTTAGTAGCGTTTGACATCATTAATAATAGCACTATTCAATAATTTTCGGTGTTTTTGATTAGTAAGTCGCAATAAGCCGCTCAATATTTCTAACAAAGTTTTGTATTATAGATTATAATTTGTTGAGAAATAGATGGCCTCAACCAAATATTATTTTCAGGCTGCACATTAAATGCAAATTTAAAATAAGCTTATTATTTAATTTCATCATTCAAGACGGCGAGTTCGCAAGATGCCGGAAAACAATATTTGCCGAGGCCAATTACTATTTCAACAAATTATAATCTATAATATTAAACAAACTTTGTTGTGTAGAAATATTTGCTTGGCTGATTGCGTTACTACTCAAATCAAAACACCGAAAATTATTGAATAATCGTGTATTATTAATGTATAAGTCAAAGCGCTACTAAAATGTATGATATAAATTTTTTTATTATACCTAAATATTTTATATTATTATTGTATTAATATATAAAACTAATTATAATTAACATTGTACCAATGCTGATTTTCGTATTTGATAGATAAGTCCATGCAAATTACATTATAGCCGAAGCCGCAACTAACTCTAATATTATATAATATAATTGAATACAATTTAAAACAATTTATGAATAACTGATGTATTAAGTTTTTAAGTTTTTTTAACAAGGTGAATTTTTTTTGTGGACATTAATAAAAAAAAACATCTAAAATGTCAAATGTCTATAAGCAACTCATATTTTAATCGAAATAATTTGAAAATTTTAATTTATATGTAGAAACTAACAACAGCTTATATAAGTTGCAAAGTCTGCTCACAACTACATGAAATATACTCAAAATATAAAAAAAACTATTGTTGTTTTTTTTTTTTTAAGATTATCACTTTAATGTAACAAAAAAAAGGTAATTTTATGTATTTTTCAGGGTTCTAGAAAAAATGAATTGATCAGTATAATCAACTTTCTGGCTATAACATACAAAAGACAATCTGTATAAAAGATGACTCGTATTTGAAAATGTGATTCTCATATCGACCAATTACAAAGTGTTATATGACTGTACAGAAGAAATGAGAACGGATAATTTAAATATGATGGTGTCAACGTGATAGTTGAATTTATTACGAAGCAAGGATAAGTTTTGGTAAAATATTAAAAAAGAACTGTACAATTTAACATCGAGAGAGCATGTCATATAAACCTTTAGGTAAATAATTTGATAATTATTCCGATGTGTTATTTTATAACACAAAAAGATTAATACCGATTAGCTGTTAATTGAATTTTATATTTTTTATGTTATCCATACCGAAATTTGACGCAGACAAAAGCCAGGACTATTATCACTATAACTAATCAAAGGATAACTGAATTTCATAATGAAAAAATTAACTATATAAAAACAATCAAAAATGATGTGAGATGACTTTCGAAGTATCGATTGAAGTATCGAGTGAATCGAGGTATTATTTGAGAACAAAAAATTCATTTTTTAAAATTTCCAATAAGATGTATAACAATTCATAGAGGCTCTAAGCTAACACTTTCAATGTAAAAGTTTTTTTTTTTATGAAATAGACAAAGAACCATTTATATTGAGTGATAGCTTATTGTTTCAAATCATCATTCAAGATTAATGTGATGCTTGCAGATGCTGGAAAATAATATTTGGTTGAGGCCATCTATTTCTATTTTAACAAATTATAATCTATAATATAAAACAAAATTTTGTAAGATAGAAATAGTTGACTTTGGCTGATTGCGTTACTACTCAAATTAAAAAACACCGAAAAATTATTGAAAAATTGTTTATTATTAATGTATAAGTCAAAGCGCTACTAAAATGTATGATATTAATTTTTTTATTATACCTAAATATTTTATATTATTATTGTATTAATATATAAAACCAATTATAATTAACATTGTACCAATGCTGATTTTCGTATTTGATAGATAAGTCCATGCAAATTACATTATAGCCGAAGCCGCAACTAACTCTAATATTATATAATAAAATTGAACACAATTTAAAACAATTTATGAATAACTGATGTATTAAGTTTTTAAGTTTTTTAACTAGGTGAATTTTTTTTTTGGACATTAATAAAATAAACATCTAAAATGTCAAATGTCTATAAGTTACTCAAATTTTAATCGAAATTTTGAAAATTTTACTTTATTATATAAAGAAACTAACAACCGCTAATATAGACATTTAATTTAAGCATCAACGAATATTCGTTTATTATTTAAAATAAAATAAAGCTAATCGTTTTTTTACACATGAACATTAAATTTCGTCAACATTCAAACTTCAGACATGCATAAAAAATATATTTTACGGAGTTATTTTCTACTTTTTTTTATTTCCAGTATTAAAAACTTATGAGAAATTTTATATTACATTTCTAAATCTTAGGTACCTATGACATTAAAAATATTAGTAATTTTTAACTATAAAATAATTTGCTAATTTTTAAGATTTTGAAAAATTTTTTCCTAATACTGTCTTTGTCTATAGTAGAGACTAAAGTATACACAGGTAAATCCTACAAATATATTTGATTATAATATGTATACTTACCTATATTTATTTGATAAAATACCTATAGATTATAGTTTAACGTATATTATACTATTTACCCGTTGCAGGTATGCCGTTAATGTCTTGGTTTTTTCTTCTTTCATGATGACTTTAATAATATTTCTTATTCAATTTTCCTGTAACAATGAATGTTCAAGGTATCTAAAGACTAAAATGAATCTATGGTGTATATAGTATATACACCCATTTATGTTTTAAGCGTTTCCGCAACGAAACGATTGTTTTTCATAACGATTTATTGATAATAAATATTGTTTTAAAATGTAACGACTACCTCTACCTTGGTATATAATGTGTACCACATCGGTATCCGTACAACTTACCGTACCAACATTAATACGACTTTGGATCTATAATATAGTTAAAAATGGTGACCGATCTAGTTGACCCCCGCCGAGAAAGTATTCCCCCGCCACACTAGTTTAGTTGACGGCGTTGACGCCCGCCGTTTATCTCTAGTGCACGTTTTAAAATGACTGGCAGCAAAGTATTTTCCAACCGATCGGATACCCATGCGACGAAGCACTCGTTTTCAAGTCATATGCCACCAAATATACTATTGCTGTGGCAATATTCAACCTGTATTATTTTTACGTTTGACAAATAAACTCTCATCGATTTTTTTAATTGATTGCCAATGAGTCGTGCACACCACCAAATATTTATCGGAAATTCGTGTTTTTTTTGTTTAGTATACTGCGATATTTTCAGTGTATTATATATATATACGTGTGTATATTTCAATGATGACGACTGAATAATTTACTGAGGTAGGTAGGTACTCCATACAATTTTATTATGCTGCACGGTACCCGCTGTTGTTGATACATACATCCCACATCATTAATTTTAGTACACGAATTTTACTTTACATCTTATTCTATTCTTGCGATATCTAGCAAGTAAATACCTCCTAATGTATACTATAATTTTCGTACCTTTTTCATCTGCAGTAGATAGATGAATACATTTTATAACGAATTATTAGGACATCGAAAACACGGCAGTTGTTAATAAAGCCAATGGTGGTTTCGTCTGGTCATATTTTCCGATTGCCACACGTCGGCGAGTTCACACTTCACAATGTACTAAAATAAAAAACAATTGAAATCTGATGATATTTACGCGCTCGCTGACGCAGTTGGTGACTTGACCTTATCGTTATCACAGTACGCAAGTCGTGTTATCATTGGATTAGTGTGTTTTTGAATAACCTTACGTTTCCGTTAAATATAATGGTTTTATCATTATCAATTATCGTTTATCACGAAAGCTTACTAAAAAAAAAAAAACCGAGTTCGACTGACTAAACACTATTATAGACCGTAGTCGCTATATAGTATGTATTGCGGTTCGCCGGGAGGCCCGATAATGGGTAGATTATTTTGCGTTCTTAGAATGTTTTTATTGCTCTTCACAACGTCGTTCCCTGATAATAACGATTGTTTCGAGTCCACCAAACGTGCGCGTCAATTAAGACGACTAATAATTACACCGATGTCCAATTACGCTTCGACTGCTACGACAGTGCTATGGAATAGTAATATACCCTTTATCTAACAATAATAACATATTATTATTGAATTATTATGCATTTGTGATAAAAATTTACTGCAGCTGATTTCTCAATAAATTCTTACTGTACCAAATTATTGATAATAAATAATATTTATTGCCCTAGTGTTAAGTAGTGCTGTTTTGTGTCCTAAGTCTTAATTAATCTAGTATCCACCGAGGGGACGTTCCGAAACGATGGTGAAAACTCTAAACACCAAGTTGAACTTCTATCATTAAATCGGAAACTCCGCTTCGAATGAAACAACAGCCTGACAGGTGTCGGTTGGACGACAAGAGCACAAGTAAAGTCATTTTTTTGAATAGTAATATCTACCATAATTATTAGCCTAATACATCATGAATACTATTCTTAGATTTATTGATATTCGATGATCAACGTTTATAGTATGGACAATGAAACAAATCTCGGAAAGTCACTAGCATCAAACCAAGATTGTTTACCAAATAGCTCATCCAGTTTGTCAAAATCAGATGTCATGTCTGGGAATCAAATGATTGATAACTGGTGTAAGTTCTATTTGTATGTTTTCTAACAAAAATTAACTATTTTCTACTACTTATAACGTTCAATCTAAATTTAATTTTCTCAAACTAATGATACATTTTTTTTAATTTTGTGAAATCCAATCTTGATTTTGTATATATTTTTTCAGTGGGTCTAAGTGTACATTGCACAACCTCTATTGAAGATTTTTGTGATGGAGATTTGGAGCAACCAGACACAGATCCATCGCCATCAACTTCTGGACTGACGTATGATTTAACAGCATTTCCAAAAACAACATCAGCAATGACTATGTTTTATCCACACTTAAATGGTTATGACATTCACCCATTGCTTTTAAATCAAAAACGACGTAATCAAATGGAATCATCATTCATAGATCCATTGAATTTACCACCACATCCTCTTATGCCTGATGTCCCGCGTCAAATGATTCATAAAAATAAGGCTAGTATTTGTAGTATTTATCTTTAAATTTTGATAAATACAAGTAAATAAAACATTGCACTAGTATAAATTATAAGTTACCTATGTACCTAGTTTTTTTAAATAAGTTAATCGACTTAATATTTATTTTATTATAAAACATATTTTTTATAGTCTATTTATATTATTCATACATTTTTTAACTAAACTTTGCGAACAACTTTTACATCATCTATACCAAAATGACTCCAATTTGGTGATGGTTGGCGCAAGATCAGTTTTATTTTATACAAATCTGACCAATCTATTTCACTTTCAGATGATTCAATACATACATAGTCTTGTGATTGCAATTCTGAATGAGTATTATCCATTATTTTCTAAAATTTGTAAAAATTTAATAGAACTTTTTTATTTCTCATTGAATTTTTATGTTTGATAAAAAAAATTAAATATGTGTATAACCTTTTGCTTTATAGCTATGTACCATTTTTTTAATCTTTTTGGATCAGTATTTGATGTTTTCATAACCAAAACTGAAATTATATATGTATAGTAATTTTTAAAATATATTTCACCAACATCTTGTGAAGTAGAACCAAAATCTAATATCATCGCAATACATTTAGAATTGTAACCTGGATTTTTCTGGTCATTAATGTTTAAATAAATTGGTATTACAGTAGCTCCAAATTCAATGGAATTATGACTATTCTCTGCAGATGAACTCTGTATACACAAATTGGAATTTAGTTCATAAATATAATTTTCCATATTTTTAAATGTTTGATTCTATAACACTAGACTGTTATTTATAAATTATGCATAGCAATAAGTAATAAATAGTAATATTTTTTTTAAATAATTTGTACCAGCATAAAATAGATTGATGAACATTTTAATATTTAATAGGCACGTCCAAAAATATCTCACAGGCGATCCGATTTTACAAACATCCAGTCATCAAATTTTGAACAACCATTAATCGTCGATACAGAAAAATATCAGCGTAAATCATTTTATTGTGTGGCATGTAGTAAAACGTTTAAATTTCAAACATCATTGTTACGACACAATAACAAGGTACACATTAGTAAGTACCAATGTCAATCATGTCATCGTGTGTTTTCAAGGCAGGCATATCTTGATGTGCACACATCTAAACAGGGAAGTTCATGTTACCTGGGTAATGGGTATGCCATTGCAAAGTCAAAAAAATAATTGTTTTCTTTGAGGAAGATAGAGTTGTTTAACCAAAAATAATATAATACTTATAGGGTAGAATAAGTTCAAATCTTCACTTGAGAAGTTAGCCTCAGAAATAAATGAAAAATTTGTTACGAGTTTACTTTTTTTGTTTGCTATATTTATTGTTTATAGATTAAATTTATTTAAAAATTAAATAATCATGAAACATTTATTCTAGTCAGAGAACAGCCTGTTCTAGTCTGTTCTGTAGTTCATTCATGTTGGCATTAAAACATTTAATAATATCTATCTCATAACTCTGGAAATAATTGTATATCAAGAAAAGGAATCTTAAGTCTAATATTTATAGTATAAAACATTTATATTCTTCAGTCATTTAACATTTATAAATCAATGATAAATGTTAAATTCATTAAATTTTGCTCTGTATGGAATGTTTCAAAATATGTTGTATTGCAATAATTTTAAGATTCTTATTATACTATAAGAAAATTTAGACTGACTATTTTTCACTGACAAAAGTTTTCCATGTGTGTAGTCTGCTAATATTTATTGTTATACACTACATACTTCTCTATTTTACTTTTATATGTATAAAAATTGGTAATGAACCAAAATTGATAAATCATTCATTCCTCAATACTAAAATAAGCAATTATTAATACCAAAAAATATTCATAGATGAGCTTATTATAATTTCCTAAAAAAAAATTAATATTTTTACACTGTCAAAAAAACAAACAACTTATTTTTCTACTTTTTAATTGTTTTTATTATTACTTATTGTTAATTATCATTAAGTGTTAAATACTAATCATAACCTGTGATTTAAAAAGAAATGTTTGTTATTCACAACTGTTGAAAATTTGTCATTTACATAACTCATTAATATTTATATTATTAAATATTATGAAAAGACATCTATATATTTTTATGTAACAATAATAATTTACTACCCAAAATAAATTTTTATATATCCTAAAATGAAACCATTAAATTATGTTTGGAACTATTTTATAGTTTATTTAGAAATAAACGAAAATAAAATGTTGATTGTTTTTATTTTGTTAATGACTTGGGAAAATTTTAAAATTGATAATTTTTCATAAGTTACTTTAAACATTATATTAAATTATATGATACTGTATAACTATTATTGTTTTATTGTTATTAAATATTAAAATATTTAAATGTATGTAATACTGTATTTATTATTATTACCTATTGAATTCTACAACACGTTAAAATTTGATAAATTCATTTTATTTTGTTTTCATCTATTGGCTCATTTCATGCTAGTTTTTTTTTTTTTTTTTTTTGCTATATTTTAATGTATAATACATTAATACAGTATAACTATACTTGCAATCATGTTCATTATTTAATTCAACCATAATTTCTTCTCTAAAAATAGTATGTTATACTGAATGTGTACTCATGTTACACTTATAGTTTAATTATTTATGATTATTCTAATTAAATTGAACAACACTATTCAGTTATTAAATATTTCTGAAATTATTATTTCTTTCCTAATAGTTTCATTTTTAATGTGTTTTTATTTATAAAGAATTTATTATAAATTCAATGTTAAGAACTATTCTACAATTTGCAATTTGTTAATCATATTTTAATTAAAAAAAAATTAATTAATTTTTTTAATTGATCAAACAGATGACATATTAAAAACCAGTTAAGGTTCCCAAACTTTTCATGATACAGCCCATTTTAAAAAATATTTAATTTATAGTATACCTTTAATATAGGTAATAATATTGTTTTTATACCATTGTTGATTATTATCTATGTAATAACTTTTAACACTTTTCAAAACTTAATACTACCCACCAAAAATTTTAATTACAATTCATTGTTTGGAAACTTCTGTACTATAACATTAGTATACTATACCAAATAGTAAACATATTAATACATACATAGTTAATTAAACTTGGAGTCAAAATTTACAAAATCTAATAGCAATGAATAATTTTATGGTATTGACCATATGCTAACATCCAATATTAGTAAATTATCAATTAATTTTAATAAAAATTGATATCAATCCAATTATAATGTAATGTCAATAGACTAAGTGTATAATAATTTACAAATTAATTTTCCTCTGCATTTCTAGCTATTCTAAAATTGTAAATTTTGACGTATTTAAGTTTTTTCAAAAAATAACTAATATTGAATGAAAATTGTATTTTATAGATTTAGTCATGATATTATACTTAAAGACTATAGTCGTATACACAATTATATGACTTCTGAAATATTCAATACTATGCAATTTTATTTTGAATCAATGATTTTATAAAATTGATATGGAATTATTTAACAAGAATGCAATATAGTTTATTAATAATGTAAATTTAATAGTTTAAATTATTAATAAATAAATTTGAAGACAAAATGCTTTACAGTTGTTTAATTATAATATAGTAATTATTGCAATAAAAACATAATGATACTAACTCATAATATCAAAAATACTTAAAGAATAATAAACTATTTCAATAAGCTGGTTGTTTTTTCATTCTTTTAAGTACACCAAAATAACCAAATATGTTTGCTAATAAACAAAATGTAAGCAACATCATTATGTCAAAATATAAATTGCTGCTTATAAAACCATATTTATTTAAAACTGCTTTGCCGGTGTCCAAACAATTACCAACTTCAGTGCATGCTAAAAAAATTAAAAATAATTGCAACATTAAGATAACCTGCATTTAATTCTCAATAGAGACATATTTACAGGAGGAGTAGTTGATTCCCAATCTCTCTTACCCCCTACCCCTTACCCTTGAATATTGTAATAGTTTATTAATGTGCATCAAATAACTTGATTGATTACAATTAAAAAAAAATCATCATTAACGTTAAATAAAATAAATGCTATGCCTCTAAAATATACCACTAGGTTCCAGATAAATGATTAAAGAAATACTTACGTAATGTACTGACTTTCTCCCAAAACAAAGTAGACACTGTTTCACAGCCAAGGAAAAACAATGACAGATATCTTAATGAATAAAACACTTTTGGTAATGACCTGATAACACATAACAATATTTAATAAACACTTATAATATCTATAATCTATATTATCTATACGTTATTACAACTTACTTGAATGATAAATAAGCACCACTGAGAGGCAATGCTAAATACTCGTAAACTGTTGAACACACAACAGCTTCCTCAACACGGCTAAAGTATGCTGACACCAGACTTCCTGAAATAATATTATTACTATGATTTTATACGGATAATATTAAGTTTCATAATTTATTATTTATTTACTAATTTACTTAATTTTAAACAATGATTAGATTATAAATTCAATTACCATATGAAACAGATGCAAATGCGAGTATTAAAAATACTAACAATTGCATATACGCCCAATTGACACCAACAATCCAAAACACAATAATACAGAAGATTACTGTCTTTATAAATACCCAAATATACTATAACATAAATACAGTTTTATCACAGCTCGATATAAATTATTTATGTTAATATGCATACTGTTAATATTAATTCAGACACGTAGTAGGCACTCAATGAATACACTTTATTGCTAACTTCTCGATGGACTACTGAAAACTTTGTTTGATGTATGGATATGACTGAATAACTGAACTGAAACACTATGTTAATGACTAAGCATAACCAAAATCCTTCCCAATTTTGAACTGCTTTTGTATCGAATTGTAAGTTAGCATAAGGACTTGAAGTAATAACACCTAAAAACTATAGTATTATTTATTTTAGTATTATTTATTTTTTGTTTTATTCATAAAAATTAAGTATTACATATACTGTATTACTATTAAATATTAATATTTAAATTTTACCATTGATGTTCCAAAATCTAAAAACTTTTCCTTGTAATTTCTAATGAAACATGTCACTGATCTATACAGCAGAAGCAATACTTGAGTTATCCAATTAATCTTTTTTCTAAAATCCAAAACAAAAATCTCAAAAATTGTTACTAAAAATCCTAAACAAAGACTTACGCTTGTAAATGATGTCCATATTCTGACTGAACCTAAAGTTATAATTTTTTTTTTTTTTATTAAATTTAGTTAGTGTATTACTAGGGCTCAGAAGTTGATGAGGTAAAAAAATAAAACATTAAATAACAATAACAAAATATATTAGACCTTAAATACAATTAAAACATTGTACTAAATATAAATATCAATATCAAAGTACCTACGAGAGTAAAGCCTATTAAGTTAGTCTTTAGATCTATGATATTAAGTTTAAAATTAAAAAAAAATATATATTTTTACTCGTGGTTTTGATAGGTACTATATTTAAACAGTGATGCATGAATTTGTAGTTTTGTTATTAATTAGCAAAATACATGTTAAAATAACCTGAAAATTAAAAAAAAAAATTACTAAATTTTTTTTTTTTAACTAAAATAAAATCTATTCATTTAGATTCGTGTGTAATAGAAATAAATATTTTACTAGGAAAGTAGTCTAATTTATATACTATAAAATAAATTATTAAGTAATCAACTTCTGAGTTATATTTATTACAAATAATAAATTTCAACATACATCCCTATTGAATGAATTAAAGTTGATGTTCATTTGCGCTACATTTGAAAAAATTTCACACATGTTATTGACATTGTTTCTATCTAATACTTTATCTGAATTCAAAATTGATACAATAAAATCAGCTTTGTTATAGGTAGCAGGACAAATGTAACCATACCTAATAATAATTTAAACTAATTATTTCATGTAAAATTGTTAGTATAAATATTATTTTAAGATTATACTTTTGGAAAAAATTATTGACTAGTGATACTGATCCTTGGTAAGCTAACTGGCCATTAGTTAAAAGTATAATTTCTTGAAACTGATCAAACAAACCAGATGCAGGCTGATGTATGGTACATATGACGATTTTTCCACTTTGTGCTACTCTTCTTAATGTGTTTACTATATGTGCAGCAGAGTAACTATCTAAACCAGTAGTTATTTCATCACAAAATAAAATTGGTGGATCATTTATGAGTTGAACAGCCAGAGCTACTTTTTTTCGTTCTCCGCCAGACAGAACACACAAACGCGAGTTTAAAACTTTATTCAAGCCCAAATGATCAACAAGATAATTTATGCGGTCCTGGATTACTTTGTTGGCTGTGGTCCGGTCCATTTTCAATTTAGCCTGTAAAAATAGATTATTCCCATAGTGTATTTTATTGCATTAATTTTAGTATGATATATAAATAGAAAATACCCACCATTAACCTGAGTTGTTCCAAAACAGTTAATTGGATGAAACTTACATCTTCTTGAGCAACAAACCCTGATATTTTTATCATGGTTTCTTCAGATACTGAATGTCCATTTAATAAAAGTTGTCCATTAAAATTTCCTTTAATAATAATAAATTAATTAAAATTGATTTGTATTAAATATTAATATCCAAGTTACTGGTGATAATTTCAAATTTTATACTATCTCATACAGTTATCTATATCATTACTTGTTATTATTGATTTAAACATTTAAACTAAGAATATTTTTCAATTGAAATCATTAAATAGTCTTTAATTCTCATTTAATATAATATAATCATTTACATTAAGCATAGTAACTAATTATAAATTATAGGACTTATGAAATTTTGTTGTTTTGTTTGAAGAATTCATTTTCAAAATAGGTATTTTATTTTTTAAATTAATAGAATACAGGCTTTCAATACTGTATATTATGGCACATTATTTCAACTAATATTTTTTAGAAAATGTTATAACTTAAACCGATACAATCATTTTAAGTAAATCGTATATCAAATTTTAAAGATATAATACATAATTTCATGCTGTATTTACTTAATCATATTGTTATGTTTAATAAAATGATAATATAAAAATATAATGTAAATTTCATAAATAAAATTAATATTCGACTTATAGAACACAGAATACTATAATATCATGTTTAAAAGAAAAGAATATTATAATAGGTAGGTATTAGCCAACATGGTCCAAATACCTTTTTTTATCTTGCTTTAGGCTTAAAAATGTCTAAACCGTGTTCTGGATTAAAAGTTTACATAGGTAACAATTGATATTGTTATGAATAATATCTATAGCTCTTGAATTTTAATTATTTATTTTTATTTTTCTCTCATACAGACTTACCTTTTGTTCGATGACTTATTGTAGCCATTAGTGTAGTTTTTCCCGAACCACTAGATTGAAAATAATTAAATAAAAACTCAAGTTTATACAAAATTTAATGTTTAAAATTATATTTCATAATTACTGACCTTGGACCCATAATTCCCAAAAGAGTGCCACATTCAACATTACCACTAACTGAAAAAATTATAATAATTATACCAATAAAATATTGATTATCATTAATTAATGCTATAATGTATTGCACATTATTATATCAAGTAACAATGTTAAAATATTAATTATAATATTTTAAAAATATATCTACAAGAAATTAAAGATCTAAATTTTCAATACTTAAGAATTAGAAGGGTAGATAATTAAACCTTAACTTATTTGATACCTACCTAATCATTAGTGAACCATTAATTTTTGAATAAATAATATAATTATTTATTGTATGTTTTAGTAATAATTTATGAATTAGAGTACTTGGTTTTTAGTATATTAATAGTATAATTATACTTTAAATGTGTATTGTTTATGTTAATAATCAAAAGAAAGTATCAAATAGTTAATTTGAAATTGTTCATATATATTAGGGGAAAAAACATTAACTTAACTAAATGTAAGTATTACTGTGTAAGTTAAATGAAATATAATAGATATACAATAAAAATACGTTTTTACTTTCTATTTGTTGGTCTTTTTTATTGTTAGATTTTTTACTAAAAAAACAATCAAATGAGGTCAGTACTGTTATAAGGACATGGATCCAGAAGGTTAGGGTTTTAAAATAGCTTCAAATTAAATATTTATAATGTATAAAATATATATTATATAGCAATAATTTAAGTTGCAATTTGATTTGCCAAAATGAAAATAAAATTATGTTTGGTTAAGAATTTATTAGAAACAATATTGATAAATATATTTTTTATTATCTTACCATTGTTCAAAATTTGTTGAGTTACAACCTCACTACTACCAAAAAGTTTAGGAATTTTCTTTACGACCGATACATTCAATTGTTTCCATGACAGTACTAAATCCCGTTTAAATAATGTGGAAGAATTATCATCCTCTTCTTCAGCAGTGTTATTCCATGCCTTCCACATTTCATTGTATTTCAAATCCAAAATTTTTTTCTGTATATAAAATTATAAAATAAATTTATTAAAGTGATGAAATTAAAATGTACATTTTAAATGAAGTACTTACAGTCGCCATGGTGAAGCGAACAGCACTAACTAAAAGCTGTAATATGTTGTAAATATATTATGTTCGTACTGTTTTGATAAATCGCTAAAACTTATCACCTTGATGACCTCAGGTTTTTATTGTGATCTTTGGGCTTATGGATATATACATTTCAATTTTTGAGCTCTTTTCATCTATGCTAACTACTATAATAGTATTATCTTTTTGTCTTTCAATGTGTTAACTATATCTACATAACATAAGTAAGTCTAACACGTTAAACTTGAAAATTGTAATCATATTTCTAGAATAACTGTAATTTTCAATATAAGTACACACTTTACATCATCAACAAATGTAATTGTACAAAAATTAATAGGCTACAGAATAACCTTTCACCTACAAAGATAACTCAATATTTTTTACTAGTAATAAATTTTAATTAGTTATTTTATTATCACAGGCTTATACAGATATTAAATATTGTTATATTAATTATTACAACAAATACATTGAACAAAACTTTCAATATAAATAGTTATGATTAAAATCTATTATCAGATTTATACAACAGAAAATATATAGTTATATAAACAAATTTACCTTATGTCTTGTCTAACATCACAAACCCGTTACACAAGACCACTTTATTTTATTCTTGATAAATTAAGTAAAGTTCTTTTTAAAGTGTAATAATATGTAAATATTTTTATCATTAACCAGTTATTAATATACCCTAGCTTACCTATATACAATATTAACAAATGTACAACAAATTAATAAATAATGTAAAAATTAGATATTTGGTGTCTAGAACGAATAGAAAATACTTTAAATATGAATAAAAACAATAAAAAACTTTTCAATACTTTCTAGACTCTTGAATAGTAGATTAAATTATAATTATGATAATTTACAAATAAATTATTAAATATTATTCCTTCAATAATTCATCTGTACTATGTTGTTTTGTTTGAAACCATATTTGTAGGAGATAGTTTTGAAATCTGATCTGAATCTCCGATTGATATAACTACTGAGTCTCTTCTTTCAGATTCAACATTATCCATTCTTGGTGCATCTTTGTTAGTATCAACTAATCGGCTATTAAGAGCCTTTAAGGCTAACAATCTATAAAAATACAAACAAGTTATAAGAAGGTAAGCTTAAATTATAAGGTATACTATGACAACAATTTAAGTACTATTATTATTAATAAATCATATTACACTTCATATATCACAATTAAGGTTTTAATAATTTAATTCATTAACATATGAATCGATATTTTAAGAAATTTGGATCGATACAAATTATTCCAGAATATATTTATCTCAGATTTAAATATTTATTATAGCTTATTTTTCTATATTTTACTAAAATTTTAGTAACTGTGTTTATTAATGCTCTATGCATATCAAGTGACTGTCTTGCAATGAGAATCTCAAGCTAGTTGTGCAAAAAACCGTTTAATAATATGTGTAGCGTAGTAAGGACCATACAACATATTACACTTATTTTGTCATTTTGAAATCAATTTCTAACTAGTCCTATGTTTATGTTACTGGATTGAGAATCGTATTAAAAAATAGACAAAACATGTGCACAACACCTAACAACTGTGTAATAACTTAACAACACATACTCCATGTTATTAAGTAACTAAAACAGTTTAGAATTAATATAAATATAAAACAATTTAACACGTAAGAACAATTTTTAAATAAAAATACAAAACAGTAAAATTACTGATCTATAGCAAAGGCCAAGTAAACCTTATATCATTGAATAGGTAATATAGTAATAAATTAATATATCACAGCAGTGGCAGGAGTGGACTGGATTTGTATAAGACCAGTCAGTAATTATTTTTACTTGAGGCTATGATTAATGTTTTTAGAATATGTTATTAAATAGGACAGTTTGCTACAGATGCCAGATTGGATTACATAAATTGTTTCTAAAAACTCAAACACTGTTTTGTGCGGACCCAGTCTAATTAGCTGTTATTAATTTAAACTTATAAATCAATACTGGTGTATCTTAGTAATAAAATCATACAGATATAAAATAACTAAAAATAATTTAAATAATTAAAAACAATTTTTAAATAAAAAAAATTATTTTATTTTTAGTTCAATTAAATAAAGTATAAAATTAATTAAGATTCACTTACTTTCTTCTGTCCATATCATGTGATCGAATACCAGGCAAGGCGACAGTAATACCAGTTGGTGCACTAGCAATATCAACTCTACGTACAGTTTTTCTACATATTCCAGCTTTTACAAAAATGCTGTATACTGAATTTGACAATACTGAAATTGGTGGTTGAACAATAACTGGGAAAAAACTACAAAAATACCAAGTTAAAAATGTATACAGGAATGTAATACCTATGGTAGTTTACCTTGCAAAAGTAAAGTTGTCAGCCATATCACCTCTTGTACCATTTGTGTGCGTCTGATAAAACCTCAAGTACGTCCAACTCATCAACACTCCACTGATGACCATTGTTGGTTTTGTGCCATCGACAAAGCCGATGAACCAGAGCACGAGAGCAATGAATATCGTGTACAAGGGTACATTGCGGTTAGTGATGCGACCAGCCGGTGTGTCCAGCACGGTGCTATCGGGCATGATCTGTTTGACGGCCACAGTGACACCAGCCAGATATCCTGCCAAGCCGCGCACGTGCACCGAGAACAACAATGCCGGATCCCAGGTGCACATGTAAAGGATATAGTAGAACACTGCGCATGCCAACGCCACTCCTACGTTGACGATGGCGAAGAACACGAGCACTTGCAATTCACCCCACAGGGGTTCGATGAGTTTGCTGCACACGGCCACCATGGCAATGTCGAGCAGCACTTGCCACAGGTGTGTCTCGAAGAAACAAAACGTGAACGGCGTCCATAGCCAGAACGACGGCGGAAACAAGTAGCCGGGCGTCACGCCGAACACCGTCGAGCTCTTGGACCAAAACGAGAAGAAATAGCACACCGACAGCATGCACGATATGATTTTGATACAGAGCCCCGTGTTGTTGAATAGCAGTTCAGTGTTTTGCTTGATGTGGGGTAAATTTTTACGTACTTTGTTGAAAACGGACATGTCGATGTAGGCGGGATGATACGCATAAGTTCCAAAAACAAATATCAATTCGTACACGCACGTATTTTCATCGTATTACATTAATCGCGGTCGGCGTTCCACAAAATTGTATGGTACACAACAACAACTTAATACAGTACTGATAAACACCTGATATCGCGGGAGCTATCAAGAAATAAACAATCATAATGATAACAATATGTTTTTTTCACGCGGACGGTAATCTTGATAATCTATCAGTGATTATTTTGAAAATACCGTTATCACGCGGCTCTGAATACTGATAAGCTTGAATCTTATCAAAACCAAAGATTATAATATTATTCACGAGCAGTAAAGACTTGTATGGGATAAGGAGGGAGCCAAATTTTAGCAATAGTCGCATGGTTTTAAACGACCACAGGCTGCGCTGCGATCGTAAAAATTGCTAGTCGCTGCTTTAACCCGAATAGTATAGGGATTATTCGTGGTTTATGCTTTTTTGGGAAAATCTGTGGCCCATTATAAATTTTATAGCTCGTAAAATTACGCGTTGATACACGTATAACATATGTGTACATTTCATAAACATTTTTTTATTATTCCGTGTATAATTAATCAATCCGTTATCACTTATCAATTTATAAATATCAGTGGTGTGGTCCGGAGCCCGGGGGGCTTAAGACTATACCCCCCTTTCACTCAATCAATGGCCCTTTTCCCCTTAATGAATGTATTATTTATATTATTGTATTTTTCATTAATTCCAGTACTTACTTCTATAAAAGAATATGACATTTGTCAGTCTACAAATAAATCAAAAATATTTCAGAGAACTCGTCCAGAAACCTGATTAGTACCTAATAATAATAATGATAATTAACATTTTAACTATATCACGGGTTTTCAACAACACTGTGGTTTTAACTTATAAGCCTTATAACTATATTATTTATGGTTATTAATTATATGACCACGATGAAGACTAATTACAATGTATAATTACGATCATATTAAAAATAACAGTTGTTATCAGTTAATTTTGGTAGTGTGATAAATTAAAATTTACAATTTTGTAAAGACAGACATTTTTCCGAAAAAATGCACTTGACACATTTCAAGAATGTAATTAAACGATTTTCCCATCAAATTTTAAATTGCTTAAAATTTTAGTAGCCCTCCCAGTTAGTTATATTTACTGACTAGGTACTGCTAATAGTGAAATGTTTTTTTTTTTTTTTTTAAAAAAAAAGATTAAAACTTATTTGAAGAACACGACTTTCGAAAATAGATTAAACGATTTGGCACTTTTAAATTTATATGAAAATAATATTACCGACCGAAGACGTTTTGAAACAAGAAAAATACGTTTGTTGTAGATGAATATTAAATACTATGGTTAAATTCAAAATATTATTTGGTTTTTTTACGTTTATGAACAAATAAAAAAAAATGAATTTCATAATGGGATGTTTATAATATATAATAATATTTTATTGTATATAGCTATACAATTAAACTCAGTACTTGAATAGTTCAATTGAGCAATAAACCTAACAAAAATTGTAAAAAAACTTAAAAATAAGTTTAAATAAGTTAAATAAGTTAATAAGTATAAATATATACTTATTATTATATATTATTATTATTATACTTATTATTATTATTATTACTTATTATATATACTTATTATATAAATATATATACTTATTTATTAATAAGTTTAATTTATACTCAATTCCCCCATACATAATCCTGACTACGTTACTGTTTAATATGTATGAGTGACATCGAGTACGCACTAAGGTGGTGCATTGAACCATCTAAAATTTTAGGTAGGTTGGAAAAAATATTTAACCGAGATAGTTAATACTATTACTTAAGAGAGTATAAAGCAGGTAGTAGGGACTTAAACAGTTGTCAGTTACGTATTTTCTATGTAAACAAAACATTTAACATAATGTTGAGTAAATTATACTTTAACTGAAATTATACGAGTTAATATTATAAAATATCTCAAAATGTTTTCATATTTGTGTACCTATTAATATTTTATTCTTATATGATAAATAATAGGTAGATTGATAAGAACTAAAATAATTTTTCATACTCTATAAATGTATACAATACAAACATACTATTAAAATGTTTTTGAACACTGAACAGTGACTTTCATTGAAATAGATAGGTACAATGTACATGTAGGGAACATGCGCGCCGCACAGTTGTGACTGCCCCGACAGAGAATGAGACATCCAGAGCGGCGGAGAAGATCAGAAAGAGGTCCAGGAAATGCTGTTAATGCAAAATGTATAATTTTTGAAAACACATGAACGGGGAGTAAGTCAAGGAGCTGTCTCGTCTACCCCCCCACGTAGGTATAAATATTTGATATTGTCAATAAACGATGGCGGCGCCGCGGGAGCAATGCGTAAGCAGTTCCCGCGGCGTCGTCGGTTAAAAACTAAAAAAAAAAAAAAGATAAGCACATGTAATAAAATTAAAAATACAGTTGTTAAACAAATCTGTTGTTGAAAGGTATGCTGTTTTCAAGTGAAGCAAGCTGCTTGTGTGGTTTGCTGTTTTAAATTTTTATGTTTTTGAATAATTAATTAAGAGGGTAAGTAGATTCGTAGAATTTGGTGAGAATTGAACCAGATTTTTTAACCAAACTCAGCGCCAAATTATAACATTACCTATATTATGTAATATACGAAATTAAATAATATTTTGACTTAATTATCATAAGTTAAACTTGAATATTGTGCTAAACATAGTTTTGGTTTTTTTAAATATATGACTTTATTTTGAAAATATTACAATCTATACAAATGTATAATAAACAATTAACATAGCTTAGTTTTCATTGTATGCCAATAATTAATAAGGAAAAATAAAATAAAATTTATGAAATATACATATATATGCACATGTATGAATGCATAATTTTACGAGGTATGCAATTTATAATAGGTCACGTTTCAAAATAATTTACACATTTTTCAAAAACCACAAAAACATGAATAATACTTATATTACGTAAACCAAAGTAGCAACTTTTACGACTGTAGTTCAGCCTATGGCCGTTCAATCATACGATTTATTTCTAGACTTTCTAGACATTATCAGAAGCAAAGTTTGATCTAATTCTAATCTTCATGGCATGTTCAATAGAGGAAGGACACCACCGAACAAGGCTGGCGCCGACCTTTAAACTATGCACTTACTAGTAACCTAACCGGTCGGCTGGAGTGAAAAACTATGGTCTGAAATTATGGCATTAGACGTAATGATGTCGTTTTTATGTAAAAACTAAAAAGCATAGAGAATTTTTTGGTTTTTTAATATTATAATATTTTAATGATGAAACTTATGAATAATTACTACAAAACGTTTTTTCAAGACTTAATTTTTATCGATCCAATGTAAAAAATACAACCTCAAGACAAATAAATATAATTTGTTGTTTAAAAAAAATAGTATCGAGTTTTTTACATAAATATATACATTTTTGCAGGTATACATCTATTATATAATAAAAATGTTTGTACATCAACTATATCATCAATCTGATCATTTTTATATGCACAGCTTAATCAGTTCGGTGTCTTTTCTTTAGTGTTTATGATTAAAAAATAAGACCTTACTCTATGTTGTAAAGTGGTGAACTGGTAGATATAAATATAATAGTTGCGTAACGGACTAATCTATGTAATACCGATTGGTAGGTACCGACAATATATTTGTCTATATATTTTGCAAATGTACAGGGGCGGATTGGTGAATTTAAACAGCCCGGAAAATATGAATCAAACCGGCCCATTCACCGAAAATGTAACTTTCTCCCTTCTCCCATCACCCAAAAAGCGCATAATTTTACTTAAATTTCAAAATTTGTTTAGTTTCATCCCTAAATTAGTACTACCGCCTACCTATAATAGTTTTGGGTTAGTTAGATTGAAAGTCTAAATTGAACGTCAAATATTTATAGAAAATATCTTTAAATATTTTGTAACAATAGACATTCATTTTAGACTTTCATTTAAATGTCCTAATCATTTTATATAATTATTAAATACATTTTATTATTTTTCCAATTGTTCATAACATATTGCCTTGTCCTTATATTATATTTTATAATAACAATTGACAGTTATCTCTACAATCATCAACTTTTAGTTTCTTTATTAAATAATTAAATTAATAATAATTTCATTTTTAATACATCAATAATTTATAATTAAAATGTTATCATTAAGTTCATACACTTTAATAATTAAGTTCTCTACGAAACAATTTACTTTTGTTTTTCAATATCTAGTTCAATTATTTGGTCAAAATCTATACTACTCAAAATATCTTTGTTTGAAGCCATAATAAAAGTTTCTAATTTATCTTAATTCATAGTATTTCTCAAGCGAGTTTTAATTATTTTTAAAATTGAAAACGAGCGTTCACAGGCCTCCTAGTTTATAAACAAATTTTAAAGCAAATAAATGTAGTGCAATGTATAATAAATAAATAAAATTTAAGCTAAAGCAATAAAAATATTTAAAGCATTACCTAGGTTGAAGGAAGGATGAATAATGAATAGATACTTATAAATTATAAGTGTTATAACCTAATGTTAGTTATTGATATACATCACTATAAAGCTATTGTATTTCATATCAATACATTAAAGCAGCAAACAGCACAATATTTTTACACACTTTCTTTCATTACAAAAATTTTAGAAAATATTCACATCATTGTCTTGGTTTTCATTTTCCTCAGAATTATTATTATTAATAAACGAGTCAGGTAATGATATTTTCAACTTATTCTAATTAGAGGCAAAATGTAATAACTTTGACTATAAGCTATCCAATGTAGTATTTTATAAAATATTTTAAGTTTTATGGCAAACACATTTAAAAAATTTAGTGGCAACTGATTTTTTAAGTCTTCAAAATAAATTGGTGACAAACATATTAAGTCTATATATATATATTTGATTATTTTTTTAGGAATACTTTTTCCATGCTTTCTACTACTTTATCCGTCATTTTATTATGTATTTCTGCTGTACATTTTTTAAATGGATCTACTATCGAGTCATCTTTTGTTAACTCTTTAAACGCTTTTTTTTCTTAATCTCAATTTCGGTAACTCTGTTTCAATAGTAATGTTCAACTCTACTTCATTTTTGTCAACGAATGATTCCAGTTTATTATTTTAAATTTAATTTTTAAACTAAATACAACTGACTCGGTAACTCATAAATTTCAAAATTTTAAAATCAAAATACATACAAAAAATTACCAGCAGATATATTATTTATAGCCGTGCATGCAACTAACTGAATTATACCATAGATCTTATCTCTACCTTAGTCCGTGGCTAACTATTACATATTATATTATAAATTTGTGTTAATATTAACAATTTATTATTTTATTCATATTATTGAAATTGTAATCAACGTAAAAAGTATAGATAGATATTTAAAGGATAAAATAAAGAAATTTATCGTTTATTTTACTAACTCTTTCGGCCAGTAATAGTTCGAATGTACCAATAAGTACTAAAGTAATACTTTCTTGTTTAATTTTATAATATTTTACGCTTCTTATCATACAAAAATATTTTATTTTTTTTTTTTTGTGTAGCGACCTTTATAAAAAGCGGCCCATCGGGAAGATTACCGATTTTCCGTTTGGCAAATTCGTCCCTGTTTACACATATATGGTATATACATAAACTCAGAAATAATAAATGTTCCCAAGTTATTGCAACAATTATTTTCGTTTGACTATAAAATATAATATATATAGTGCTTACTATACCTAACCTGATTTTAATTTAAAAATAAGATTTTATTTTATTAATTATTCGATAAAAAAGATTTCTTTTTACTATTGTTTCCGGTATTTTCGGAAATAGTTCTAAATTTATAGAAGCTACGCCGTCTTTATTGTCAATTTCAGTGTGGATGGAGATCAATTTCTTCGGCAGTCTGGATATTGTTGGGTTTATTGTATTTTTCCAATTGTCCTGGTTGAATATTGAATAACGAATAACCATTAATGTCACGTACCACATTTTAATCATCTCCAACATATCATTAAACAGTTTTAGAGACCAAATTTTTATCACAGGCGAATATCGATTAAACATGTGCCTGACCTCTATTATGTTTTCTAATTTTATGTTCGGCATTTTAATTATATCCGTTTCAATCGCATTTGAGATTTGGGATGTAATGTTATCTTTATCGGTCATGTTACTTCCATTGTCAGCTTCTGTACTGTTATTAATGTCCGCAGAATTTACTGCAGTATCTCTTAATACATTTATGGACGATTTATTTGTAATTAATCGTCTTATTTCTTCTTTTATGTTGTTAATATCGTGATTCTCAATTTTTTGTTCGTCGCGAGGTATTGGTGTATACTTACCGCGAGTAGTTGTTGATTTTTCTAGCCATAAGATCGCGTTATTTAGTTCTGCTTGTTCAATCTGATATGTTTTATTGATTTTATGTTTTAGTTGTTGAATCTCTGTTAAACATTTATGTAAACCATCTAACGTTTCTTCGAGTGGTATACATTTTTTAATTTTATAAAGTTCATTGACTAGTTTTTTTAATTTATCCTCAACAGACATATTTTCAAAGTATATTACTTCTGGTATGCAAGATTCATCCGATTCAATTTTTATCACATGTTCTGGTTCTTTCATCAAATTTCGTTTCACCACAATGAAAATAATAAAAAGGAATGGCACTAAGATTAAGCCATTTTTATAAAAATCCATAGTAAATAAAAACATTATTAAAACGTATTTGAGGACTGCATTTAAGTCAAAATATTATGTATGATTTTTATACCTGTTTAATTTTTAATAGATATATGTATTATATCATACAGTATTATAGGTACATTATATTATAAATATTAGATAACATAGAAATAACATTGAATAAATAAAAATGAAATAACTATAGTGATAAAACATTTTTGTTAATTTTCTGCTGATTAAAGAAGATAATATATAATAAAGATATCGAGTATATAATAGTAATACTTAACCTATAATCATCATACACAAAAAACAATATCTATAAAATTTATTATTTTTATTAAAATTTATCACTAGGTTATTGTGACTAATGAGTGTTTACTATATCAATACACATATTATATCTAATATATTTATTATATTATGTATTATGGATACAGTATTATATAACATGATAATTTATATTTAGGTATGTGAAGTTAGTAAATTTACTTGGTCATAGTAATATAATATAATTTTCTAGTTAAAGTAAATCTCTAAAAATTGTACTGTCTATTTTTTACCAATAGATTACATCGAAACTATCTCAATGTAAAGAAAAAAAAAACTACACAAAAACAGTAAATTTAACGTAATGTGTATAAATTGTTAAAGTAATTAAAAAAAATTAAACTTTAAAAGTTTTATTGTTGAATAAGTTTCCTTATTACGTGTTTCTTGTCGTTATTCTTAACCCTCTGTAATCTATGGTACTTATTGTTTATTTATGCATAACCGATTGCGAATAAAATTTAATAAAAAAAAAATTAATCATGTCAATGGAAACGAAAATTATTTTCATGTATTAAATTTAATTTGAAAAATGTAGTACAATATTGGTTTGTAGTTACATGAATTATTTAAGAACTATAAATGGTTATTGTACTGCTATAGTACCAATATCCACTAAGTATAATATATTGCATATATTATAGTATTAATATTATAGTACATTGTCTTTAATTAAATAAAACATTAAGAAATTAATGTAATTTTTTTTTTATTAATTATATTTAATGATTTTAATGTATAGTATACCTATTAAGTACATATTTTAGGATAGTCGTTTTGTTTCGTTTTGTCGTTGCGATTCGTATTCTGTATGTTTATTTAACATACCTCCATTGAAAGACAAATATGCATAAAAACCAATTTTTAATGTGTAAGCTGTACATATTACATGCCTGTATACCATATTGTGTTTGTAGTAAAGCATATTTGATGTTAGTGATAATTTACATAAAAAAAAAAAAATGTAAAAAAAAATTGATACTAAATACATTTTGACAAATACATAAATTAAAATTTGATAAAATAATTTGACTTATACGTAATACAAATCTAAAACAGTAAATAGAAAGGTTAGTGACCTTTATATTATGATAATATACCTAATCCTCCTATAAGTCCTGTCGTATACGTATAATTAATATATATAACCGCTAAATACTAAAATAAATTCATTAAAATGTATTTTAGTTATTTTTTGATCTGTCAAATATTAATTTAAATCCGTTTTAAAATACCTCTAATCATATTATATTCTGTGTAGTAATTAAATATAATTACATAAACATGCATGGTGTATTGACAGCATTTACATTATTTTTTAAATACCTATTGATTTACTTAGTTATTTATTTATTTTTTTTGTTGAATTAACAATTTGAAGTATTGTTTTTTTAATATATAATAAATAATTATACATTAATAGCCATTGTGCTCTATTTGTATATATATTTTTCTATAAACCCTAGAGACCTAGTGTTTATAATAATTAATAATACATGTATTATTATTATTTATCATCTATATAACAAAAAACCACTAAAATATTATAAGTAATTCATACAAAGCATATACCTGAGCTTGTAGTAGTTGAGGTTCAATGTACAATTATTAATACTGCGTCTGTTGGTTAATAATAGTCATATCATATTATACATATTATAAACAACAATAATTGAATAATATAACTTTTAATGTTTAAATGTAAAACATTATTACATTTTTAAATAAAAATATTATTACGAGTAAGTTAAATAATTTAATAGCATCATATAAATAGAAATTTTAATTTTATATTGTTTCTTATAGTTTGGATTTTCTTTGTAGCTAATACTACATTAAACGAGTATGTGAAATGCTAATTACTGTGTACCTTGTATACTTAACCTGAATATTTAAAAAAGTTCATAATATAAAAGTTTTATATAATCAAGTAGGTCTTATAGTTTATCCATAGTATAATATCAACGATATCATATAGTTTTATTTAAATTATATTTTTGTAAACAGTAATATTACTATACATGGTAAAAAAAAAGTTCATACATTGTAATGCAAATAAGATTAATAAGTATAATATTAGTATAAGTATATTAGTATATTAGTATTATTACTTATTACTTATTAGTATAAGTATATAATTAATTTAAATGCAAATATAGACTAATGTCTTTGAATATTTAATCCTATAAATAATATAAAAAATAATAATAATAATATAATGAATTTGTCTTTGCTTTTGATCTCGCTATACTCTCAATTAACTTCTTTTGAAGTAGGTACTTTTAAAATAAAAAACTATTGTAGGTAGAACGAGACAAACATTAAATCTATCAAAATGAAAAATGATACCATAGGTAACTCATAAACCAGTGATTCCTAAACTTTTTTCCTTCGGGACATATTATTAGTTATTATAAGTCATGGTACACTTTGGATAAATATTAAATATTGCCTACTTACCAAATATAAATGGTTTATATATATGTATATAAAGTTCAACTTTTCACGCACACCCTTTGGGAAACACTGTCATAGACCTATCACGTTATGTATCTAAGAAGAAGTGTTTTATTTTATTTTATTAGTTTTTACGTTTGTATAGTATATGGACATATGGTAAACAATTGAATTGTAGATATTTAATTTTGCAACGATCCAGTCAATTAGATCTCTGACTGCACAGTTGACCTTGACCCGTGTGTTGTACCAACAGCACGAGCATATATAATAACCTTAGGGGCTAAGTTTAAGTATAAATATAACGATTTTTGTTCGGCATTTTATTTGCTCAGTCAGAACATGCAGGCTGCCATAAATGGCAAAAGTAGCTAGTATTGCAGTATATTGTATAGTTGTAGTTATAGTATCTTCTATCTACATATGTATAATATAGATATTAAATATTTTTTATATATATGTACAATTTCCAGTCTCCATCGCGACGTATGTTGTACTCAATATTATAATATCACCATAGTTATTATTAGTTATAGTATACATACATTTATAATATATTATACATATAATAATTAATAATAAAACACATGCAACTGTAAATAGAATAATCCAAATTGTATAATATTAGATCCAAGACATTTAAGAGTTTTAATAATATTCTATATAATCCTTACCACTTATTCCATGTAAATATATTCTGTTAATATTTTTTTTTTTTTTTTTATAGTATCTCAAAGTTCTTTGATTGTTTTGTACACCTATATGAACTTCGTAGTTCAGATAAATTATAAATCGTGTGCCTATTGAATATAATATGAATAATTATGTTTAAACTTGAAAATTTACATATGTATTGTCGCGAAGTTCGACCCTGATTCTTAAGTAAGTATATCTACCTACGTCGAGAGAGGTTAATTCGCAGTTCCAAAACGAGTATACTCAGTGAATCCGGAACCATTTTTCATGTTTAATAAAAGGGAGGAGAAGAACATAAAAATACGAAGAACATAACCATGGTTATATAACTTATATCAAATCAGACATCGATAGTGATGATATTATTACATACATTTTATGCATATAATGCGTCCAAAATTTAAAATGTTAAATACGTTATGTATCCAAAAACCGTGTGATATAAAAGGGCGAAAGTTTTATTTTTAGTGACGCAGGGAGTCAAAATGATAGTATTGCCCCGCCAGAATTATAACCGGGGTGTCAGTTATCCCCTCTATCCCCTTTTTTCGGCGCCACTGAGCATACCTCCCCGTTAAATTCTCGAATAACTGTATGACGTATTCTACATTATAACATACAGAACATAATGTTATTGATGCCACTGGGTTCCTGTATAACTATAGTAGCGGTTCACGACCAGGGGCGGACTGGGCCGACGGGCGGGTGGGCGATCAAGAACACAAATTTTTTTTTTAAATTGTATTTAGCTAACAGACCAAATGATGATGATTGAATAGCTGGGAGAGAGGAGAGCCACTAATTCCATCTGTCTATAGGTTATTACTTATTACTTTTAAGAAATGTATGCTGGTATACATATAGTGCTATTTGTATAATATATAATACCTAAGCGCAGCTGGGCCCTTGTGATCGCCCGGGCCGATTTTTGCGCCAGTCCGCCCCTGTTCACGACACCATCCCCACTAATCTACTCTTATCAAAACTCTAAACGATTATTCGTCCGACGACGTCTACCGCCGCACGCGTTAATAGCTATTGCGTTTAAAAAAGTGTGGTTTTGCTCCTGACCGCGACACGATATCGTTAAAAAAAAAAAAATCACGAGAACTGTCCGCGGAGATCGGGCGTATAATTAATATATTACGTAAACGGACCACAGTCGGTAAAACATATACGTAATATTATCGTAAAATACGTGCACGGGACGCGGGTATTATATAGGGTACTATGACAACGGTTATAGGTAATAGGTTTACGCCTTTACGGTAAACATAATACCTATTATACATATAGTGTAAACGGTATTATTGTGGTCGGCGGACCGAGACATATTTCCATTATACCGCGTTCATAAAACATGCATAATATAATATAAAGCTGCCATAATAGAATATTGTCGCCGGGTCGGCGGCGGTGGGTTCAGGCGATCGGCGGCCGTGTATTCTCGCGTGCACGGTCAGATAGGTAGGTAGGTAGGTACCTATGCGTCGTACAGTGCGGTGCGGTATAGCGGCAGAGCGGGCTCGAGCCGCGCCGTACGCTATCCCGCCGGCCGGGTCCCGCGCGGCCCGCCGCCGCCGCCACCGGTCAATTAGCGCCGCCAGAGGTCGGTCCCCGCGTTTTGGCGGCGGGTAGAAAAATCAATTGCGGTCGCGTGCCAGGAGCGCGAGCGAGAGAGAGAGCGAGAGAGAGAGTGAGAGAGAGAGTGTGAGTGCGACAGCGAGAGGAGGATAGCCGCCGGCGGGATGCGGATCGGCGGTATGGGCGGCGTAAGAAGAGAGAGCGGGATAGAAACGGGAGAGAAAACGGCGAAATAACCGCTAGCTCTCGAGTGGTAGGTGTAGCGTACGCGCGCGTTCGCTTTGCTGCAGTTTCGTGTACGGCGCCGAGACACGTCGAACTCCTTCGCCACAACAGGGTTACCGGGTCACACCGTGTCGATAACGTATAACACACACACACACATACACATACAAATATAAATATATACGCACAAGGGATAGGGTAATATACGCGTACACGAGCAGGTATTGCACGTCGTCGTCGTCGTCGTCGTCGTCGCGTTAAACCCCGTTTGACGCGATGTGAGATCAAAAAGACACCGCCACAGCGCGATATGGACACCGTTGTCACGTCTCGTCGTCTGGGTAAGTGTAACGATGATAATAATAATAATAATAAAAATAATAATAATAATAATATCGTGATAATATTGTATTAGATAATAATATATTGCCGGATGTATAATAGAACGCGTGTGAGACTTGAACATTTGACATACGCCGCCCGGGCACCACGGTCGTTTTGTGTACACACAAAATAGATATATATATATACAATATACATATGACGCGTAAAAGGACATTCTCCGATGTACTTGCCGCCGATTATTAGTAGGTATTGTCATAACAGTAATAATGTGTTCTATTGTCTCGCACCGTACAGAACGTACGCGGTCAATCGCGGTGTCTTGACCGCGCGGGCGATGAGAGAGTTAGTCCTCTTACCTCGTCGTCGTCCCGGAAGTCCTGCGTCGGCGATATTATGATTGCGAACGCAGACGTGCGACGTCGTCTTATTGTTCCTCCGGCCAGTTTAAAGGTGAGACCTCGCAAATTAATTTTGATTTACGCGCGGTTTACCGAACACGTGACCGTATTTACGAGTATAGGATGTGTCAAACAGCTGGCGTATAATATTGTGTCCGATTAGTTCGATAACTACAAATATTGTTATCTTATTTGGGCCTCCGACACGATTCGAGTAATCGGATGCATCAGTATCATACTATAATAACATGATGTACCTATGTTTACTATAGTAGGGTCTGTGAATTTGTAGCGAATGCGTTTTATCAATATTTGCTGTGAGACATTGAGCTTATATTAAAACTTCAATCAAAATGTATCTCGAACTATGATCTTATGCTTAACGCATACTTGCTAATGATATTCCAACAATAATAGAAAAAACAATTTCAATCTTAACTTTGCAGTATATTACAGCTCGTCATTTTTTAATACCTAGCCTTTTATCGTAGTGATTTCGTAGATCACCGTATTTTAAATTGTTTATAAAATGTACGAGTAAATTATGTGATAGACAAATTATTGTTAAGATTAGATTGGATAGTAATAATAATTATGACTTATTTTGATGTACGAGTTTATTTTGAAATCAGTTCTTCTTTTTTTTTTTGTTATTATAATATCGATTTTCAATGTCACAATTCATTCATTGTAAAATTTATAAAATATTGATTTTAGCATATATTTTTTATACTTATTATTAACAAGTGAAACAATATTATTAACATTTATATTAAAATATTTAATATTTATTAAACAAAATATATTTTTTTACATTCTTTATGCATACTTTTTTCTAGTTTATAATACTTTTTTTATTATTTTAAATGTACTATTAGGATTTTAAGATTTATTTAATTATTTTTTCACCACTCTATAATATAGCCATGTATTTTTACTAATTATTGATTTATATTTACTTCTATTGTAGGTATAATACCTAGTTGGTATAGATATTTTTACCAGCAGTAAATTATCCGAAGTTTTATTCGTATTGTTGTATATACTAAGCATAAATATTTTCTGGCGAATCGGAAAACTGATACCAAATCTATCACAACGGAATGATTGAATACAAAATACCACCAAAATATTTAAAGCGAGATGAAGTAATCATAATAAGCATGAAAATAAAAATATCACTAATAACATTTATAAAAATAATATAGTAAAATATTATTTACAATGTTAATAATAATATAAACACAACAGGTATAATGAAAGGCACCAATGGATCATGTCACATCATTATATTATCTACACACAAAAATTAACATTAACCAAGTAAAAATTTAAAACGACAAAATAAAAAAAAAATTAATATATAACATCGAAAACCGCTTGTCTGAACGAGGGAAATTAAAAACATCAACTATGTCCATCGCTACACCGGACGAAGGTACCTAAATAATCAACTGTTAAACTTAATTGACTAGTTTGTTAAATGAATATTGTTTTTAAAAGTACACATGTAGGTAATTTAGAAATGGACATAAAATGTTCAATGAAAAACGTACGCAATATACATCCATTTGAATAGTCTCCAAGTACAATTTTCTAAGTGACCGTGAAATAAATATTTGTACGTGGCATTATACCTATTATTATTACCTATTAAGTTTCAAACGTCAACTCAAAAACGAATTTTCATACAATCGCAATTATTTCTAATACAAAGTTCCAAAAAATTAAGATTTTTTCATAAAAGAATTTAAAATTTAAAAACAATGGTTTTATTGAATTAAGTTTTAAATAATATGGTATATTTTTCAGTGTAAAAGGTTGGCGCGATATTATTCGTATTGTGATATTATATGTTCGGACGTGCACATAATGCAGATAATCCATATTTTTTATCCACTTGTTGAATACGGTTTGATGTAATTAATTAACGAATCTATCATCGTTATTTCAACGTAATCGCGTGGAACGTTAGGTGGATTAGAGATTGATTATGAATTTAGCGACGTTAATTAAAATCTTGTCAGTGTTGTTATCCCGTATAATTGGGCACAGTATTATACAAAACGCTTTAACCTAACGAATAAATAATTATACAGCCCGCAACACCCTCTTGGTCATAGCTTGACCAAATACCTATTTAAATAAATTACACGATGTAACGAGTTGATGATTTTTTAGATACTCGAGTGATGAAGGTCGAAAACAGCGATGTGCCCACTATATTCAACCCGCGGAAGCCTAGACTTTCGCAAAGTAACGCCGTGCTGACGTCAGACCACAAACCTTATGGTCCTTTCTCGCATGTGCTGTCCAGAAGCCAATCACGTACGTGTCTGATTGTATCATGTCGATCTAACAACGGTCCGAGGCGTACACCCTTGTGCATAAATTATTAATATGTGAATAATTCGATTGCTCTGCAACTTCGATCACACTGCAGTAGTGCGTAGTTTTATCAATTGACTTATTCAAGTGAAATTCAAACGATCAAATTAATCGTGTACTTATCGTGTAATTAATGTTCGATCGCTTTATGGTTAATATATACGGTAAATATATAAGCCTCATCTCCAGGGTTAGACATTTCTGTACGCCTCGAACAAAATATCATATCCCGTCGACCGGGATTTATGCTAATATTGTGTGTGCATTTATGACTTAAACCCTCGTCTTGTTTCATACCGTTTTTCTATAGTGTGTCAGCCCGAAGACGTGGAACAGGTCGAACAGTGCCAGCGGAGGCAGTTGGGCGTGTTCAAAAGGCTGAAGAACAAATGTTGTTCGAAACATGCGAGGAAGGTTTGTACAGTGCACGCATAGTTCAGCGCGACTCGTTAATTTTTTTAAAACCAAACAGATGATAGGACCTTTAAAAAAAATCCATTGCTGGCTTATAGAAAAAATATTTTCCAGTACTTACCGATTTCCTATTTGCTTAAGATATTGTATTGTGTATAATACCGCCAAATGTCCACAGGTATATTATGGTTTGTGCGTCACTTTCTTTGTCACCGCGTCTTGGGTGGGCGCTACGCACGCCATCAAGTACCTGTACATGTACCATCCGACCAAATATCCGGTGCTCACAGGCAGCGGTATTAATTTTTCGTCCATACACCAGCAAACGGTATATATAAAATAAAAATATATTATTGATCTCATTAATTCGACTAATTGTCTGGCGCACTTACACCCACCCACCAGTCACCACACACACATACACACACACAACGATACACATATACCATGCCTAATACGATTTTTTGTTAAATTAAAAAAAATGTTATAATAAATTACACGATAAAATATACAGTTTAAATGATATATATATATATATATTTCCCGTAAGCGTTGCTTTCATTGGAAATGAAGAGTTGTACAAAACGCTAACATAAATAGATAGGTAACGCAGACGAGGTGTTTATGAATCGGATTACCTATGCTTAGACTATTCTTTATAAACGAAGTTAAAATTATTGCTCGCTGACGGTTGAAGAATAACACGCGAAAATTACCATTTTACACGCCATCATATTATTATGCATTAGAATGTATTATAAATGGAAGTGTTGCACGAACGGTCAAAAACTAGACTTTATAAAAGTATTGTTTAACAGCAGTGTGCCGTGTGCGTGTACTGTTCTACACGCTTTGTCAGCAAGTTTACATTAACTATTTACATATATTTTATATAAATAATTAATACGAAATTCAAACATTTTTTTTTTTTCTGAAACACAATATAAAAACAATTTTATTATATCGTTGGTTACACAGTTATTTTTATAAAATAGGCACCGTTTCAAAAAAAAACCTTTCAAGAAAATCGCAGCTCTTTATACTCAACATTATTTATTAAGACCCGAATTCCTATGCAAAATCTTTTTTCGTTTGATATCTAATACAATGCTTTATATTATTTGATTCGTGTATCAGAGATATCAAAAGTGAAATTTTTATTTTGCTTTTTTTAATATTTTTTAGTATTTGTTCATTTTTAGGGCATATTTTGGCATTTTCAGTCATTTTTTCGTTTTTTATGCATATTTATACAACTTACGAGTATAATATAAAGTATTTTTATATATTACGATCATAGATTAAATTTATTTAGAGTATTAAATTTATAATTAAATATAGTTAATTCAAAATATTACTCATGCTTTTCGGGTTTTTTCTTACAATTTATAAATCGTTCTATAGATACAATAATGCCTGTATCTTATTTTTATTAATTATCACCCAGACTCGGTAAATCTAGTTAAATCCATCGTCGGTGATTGCAAGTAAAAATTTTCGATTTTTAATATATATATTTTTTTTAAATAAAATTAAAATATTATTAATTAACCAATAAGACAATAATTTAAAAAAATTTGTATGTCATTTTTTAAATGCATTTTTAGATATTTTTTTAGAGTATTTTTCAATGATTTTTAGTGAATTTATATCTGGACTCTGATTATTATATATATTATTTAAGTTTGTACTTTCTGCCAGAAAATTTCAAATGGAAGGAGATAAAAATTAGATAGGTATGTAGGTTATTTATATTTTAGATCAACAACAATCGAGGTGAACATACCTCTTTCCTTCTAAAAAAAATACTATATAGTGCAATGTAAAACACTTAATAGACCTTTGAGTAAGTTGGGTGAAACGTTGTACACGAACTTCCAACTAAATCTAGATAGGTAAACTTTTAGATTCTGATAAATGTATTGATTTTACCATGATTTGTTGTTGTTTTTTTTTATGGATTAGTACTCCATACGTTATCGATAAAATACCTGTATTTTCGAGAGTAGGAATGGTTTTGGATATCAGATTAGATCTAGTTTATATTTTAGAGAAATCAAAATTAAACATTTTCAATTCTTATTTTTATAGTTGTTAAAAACAAACAAAAAATTTAAGGAAAAAAGAAAATTTTCACGCAAATCAAATTTTTAACAGAATTGATTTTGTTTTTGATGTAAAACAAAAACAAATAGTTATAAATATTTGAAATTTTCACCAAATGTTTATATTATCGTTTTTTATTTATGATAAAATTATCAAAATATATCTACAAACTATTTTTGAGCTATTTATAGACATAAAATTTTTTTTTTTTTATATAAATGTTAATTAAAAATTATTTACAAAAAACTAATGTTTGAAAATTGAATACAAAGATCTTAATATTTTAGTAATTTCTCGATTAAAAATGTTTTTAAAATTTAAAACAAGATTCTTCATAAGTAGTTATACTGTAACTACAAAATCTAAAAATATATAAAGGCAATTATTTTTTATAGACATTTTAATTTCATATTTGGACGAAATTACTTATTTAAACAATAAATAATGATATGTTAATTATTTTTTTATAATTTAAAATCATTTTGCGAGAACTTGAACTTTTATGTATTTTATATTATTATGAACTTTACTATACGCAATAACATTTTTAATTTATTTTAAAATATTATCTATTTATAGATACTATGAATCAATTTTTATTATTTTACGATATTTATAGAAATATATTATTAAATTTTGAGTTATTCAAGTTGATATAATAATACGGTATAAATATATATTATTATAATAATTAAACACTAATAGCGTGTTCATAATAATTAGCAATCTAAATTTACAATTTTTTATACTTTATGTATTAATCGGTTTATATTTACATATGTTTATTATATTAAAATTTATAATTTTCGTAATAAATTCAGTTCTGCGGTGGAGTCAGACCGATGTGTATAAATATCAAATATGCACATATAACCCACGCGCTCCCGTCGTTTCTAAATAGTGCACTCATTGATTACAATGAGTTAAATAATATTAGTGAAAATGCTATTAGAATTACATTACTCGCTATCAATATTTTACTGTTATTATCAGCTTTTTTTTTAATGTTAAACTTAGCAACATACTTCGATTAAGTATGCGTAAACTGTTTCTATTAAGATAACAGCATAGTTGCGTAACTATTACGTACGACCAAGTCTCCTTATCTGTGACTGCCGGTCAAAATTCTCGTTAAAATACACACCTACCTACTGGCTACTGCATGTAATTATGCCTAATGTATCAAAAAACAATACTACCAATACTAACCAGCAACGCGACAATAACAAAACAACTTTTACTTTCTTCATTATTATACACAAAAATTAAAGTTTAAGGGCCTCAAACCTAAAACGTTAAGTTAATGTAATAACTGTTAGTAATATGGTCACACAAAAACCTGTTGTGGTTATCCCCCATAATGTGTTCTCTGTGGTATTGATCACAAGTCTCCTGATTGTTCAAATCAACGTTACAATACTTTTAAAAGTGCACTCATGTTATCTGCAATAATTTTCGGCATGCCAAAAATCCATTCAAAAATGGTTTTCTCCTAAATCCGTTTTATCCCCGTACAACAACACATGCCCAAGTTACATCTGGTAGCTACAAAATTTCCAACTAGCGTGCGGTCACTCATGCTTTCGTCTGAGTTAGATATAAATAATATGAGATGAAGTTAAAATTAAGCTAACGATTGATTTATCATACTTATCGAAGGCAATTCGATTACTAACAACTAATTATTTGAGGGAACCACTGCAGAATTGAAATCGGGAAAAAAGTCGAGTTAACCAAAAAAAAAGTATAAAATGAAATCGCGGGAAATCGAAGTAAAAGACCGGAAATAATTCGAGTACCTAGTATGTCCGGGACACGTTGGTGGGATGCAATCGGGCGAACCGTCCTCTCGACGGATATCGACTTACCGCACAAAAGCATCCATCGCCTCGTCGTGGGTCGTGCGGACATCACACTAAATTCAACACACGTTCACACGTACACGCCCATTCCATTGCACCCTGTTAGGATAATGATTTAATATTTTTTATTAATTTAATCAATAAATATTATTATACGCTCATTATTGTCGTACCGTTGTGCCGGACGGACGCGTTGCAGCTGATGACGTACAACGCGCCATTCTTTACCACGTGGTTTTGCACGAACTGGACAGTGCTGTTCTTTCCGCTGTATTTCTTCTGTCAGCTGGGCAGCCCCAACTACCAGACGCCCACAGACATACTCGGCGAGAGCGTCCGGAACTTTCGGGACCGCGGTTTCACCGCCGCCCACTTCCTGACCAGATGCTGCATGTTCTGTATGCTGTGGGTGTTCACCAACTACCTGTACATACACGCGCTCAGCATACTCGTGGCCACCGACGCCCTAGCCCTGTTCGCCATCAACGTGTGCTGCGTGTATCTGCTGTCTTGGGTTATACTCCACGATCAGTTCGTTGGCGTCCGGGTGAGTGTGTTCGGGATCTCCTCCCGATCCCACCTCCCCCCCCCCCAAAAAAAAAAAAAAAAAACCAAAAAAAAAAACGACGCCGTCAGTCCACGCGGGTCTGCGGCGCACGACTTCCGCGGTGGCGGCGGCTGGGCGGGAGATAAATGGGTGCATATGGTTCCCGCGGGGATTATGGTACGACCGTTGTCGTTGCTGTGATCGATCAAAGCGGTGTATTTGAGAGGGACAGAAAGGGATGGGGCAGAGACAACTGTAACGGAGTGAAAAAAAAATACAGTCATAATGTAGTGTAAATTACTAGTTTCACGAAGAGACGTGACAGGTAAAAATCACTCTCGCGTGAGTTTCTACACGAGATTAAAAATACGTCGAGTTTTCCACACAGCATTCCACAAAATGTTTATTTAATACAACGGGCCGTTTGCACTTTTTTCGTTGCAAAAACAAAAACAATAATATTAATTACGGTGTCATATAGTATTATGAAAATATAGCTTAAAACGATTAACAAACAATTTTTAACCATCCACCAATTATTATTGTACTACGTAATAATTTACTTATTAGTCTCATTAAGTCTGGTTCAAATAGAATTTTCTTATGCACAGGAGTACGAGTATTTAGTTTAATTACTATGTATTTTATTTGAAAGAACTCACATATTTTACTCACTTTAATTCCTTGTTCTTGTGTAAGAATACTTAACTGCTTACCTGTTATGTCTCGTGTAAGAATTTACATTTGCCAAAAGAAAATATTCAGGGACTCTATAATTTGAAAATTCATAAATTCTTCACAATACGTTATACTTATAGGCTAGAATGTAATTTATTATGTGTATAGGTGATATATCTGTAAGTCTGTTTGTTACCCAAGATGAACTCTCAAATATGCCACTGTTGTTAGGTCTGTCTGTATCATAGAAAATATTATAGCACATCATAATATCATACAAAACGACGTAGCTACAATATTAAGGTTTGGGCTCCACGGCCACGTTTGATCGTTTTCCGACATTAGGCCACTTTTCATTGGCACAAATAGGTAATTGAATCACGTAATTACACGTTATAACTTATATTTTAACAAAAAAACTCATTATTTGGGCTAAACAACTTCTAAATTAGTCTCATCAAACATTGTTGTCGAAACGGTCTTTTGACACCACAAAATGATAAAAATATAACTTTATCGATTTTTATGATAATTAATTACTACTAATTTTATTATTATTATTATTTCAAGTAATTATAATATATGTTTATTGTAGATCACAATTGATACTACAAATATAGTGTATATTTTACATTATATATTGTCATGTTTAGTATTATATACTGTATATATGTATATTATAAACATGTTTTTATACAATTTTTTTAGTAACACGAGCACACATTCGCATGATTTAGATTAAATAGATTTAAAATATTCGTGGATTAGGGGAGGGGGGATTTTTTTCATGTGCTCCAACTTATTTGCACCTATGGACTTACCTCGTACCTGAAGTCAGGGCTTGAAACCGAAAACATTTTTTCCGATCTTGATTTCGGTTTCGGTTATCGGTATTTATTTTTTTCAGATTTCGGTTTCGGTTTTGATATCGATTTCGGTTTTTTAATTGTTTTAACCGGTATTCAAAATTGGTAACCAATATTGTTTTCAAGCCCTGCCTAAAGTATACAGTGCGTACCTCCTAATCATACTATAACCGCATTTTCAAAAATACAATCGACTACCTACTCTAATAAAAATATATCATTATGCATGCGATCAGCTTGCGATGACGTAGATATATCACTATAATGCTTTTATTGATTGAAACGCTATTATCATAATACGTAGTGTTTAAAACGTTCGGGATTTTAGTTTAATGTATTACGCGACGCACGTTACGGGTTCACGTCTATATTTCGCGACCCGTGCCGTTTTCAGCAATGATCGTTTGCAGATTGTGGCTGTCATCCTGTGCAGCACAGGCGTGGCTTTACTCGCCTATATGGATGCCGGCATAACGAATAAAAAGAAAACGATGACCGGGGTTTTGTTAGCAGCTCTAGCTGCCGCCGGGTCAGCTGTGTATAAAGTGAGTACTTCCGGTTCAAACACTGCTATTGAAATATAACGAATAGATTGTACCTATGTATGTTCGGTTGATAAATTTCAATACACCGAACACTATTAACGTCTCACGTAGACCTAATACAATATTTATTTAAATGATTTTAACTGCATCTTATCTTACACTAATCACTTTATACACGTATTAAACTGTATAAATTACATAAATAAAAAAAAAATTAATCGAATTCTAATACTTTCTAATATACAAGATGCAGTTTTTTACTAGTATAATAGTATAGTATAATTTATTCGGTATGTACGTGTCTATATATTTGTATTCATTAATACCATTTGATTATTTTTTTTAAGTGTCATTTTTCTTGATTTTTTTTTTTTTTAACACTATAAATCCTTTAATATTATGAGATTATAAAACTTTTTATGTGCAATGGTGAGATACCTACTAAATAGTGACAACACAGTTTGTAAAAACTTTATAAAATAAGTATTATTTTCAAAATTTTATATTGTTATTCTTAATTTGAATTTTCATGTTAAAGTATTATACAGAGCCGTAAGAAATTGCTTTTTTGCAACCACTTTAAACTGGCCTTAGCATAGATATATTCTATAACATAAATAGATATAAATTATAATATATTTATTATAAGGTGATAAGTACTAACTTTAATTTTAATTATTTATTGAATAAACACTGTTGTGAAAGAACTGCTTGTAATAAGTTTGAGCGATATGATTAATGAGTAAACTCAAAAATAACATTGAGACAATGAAAATAATTGAGAAATTAGAAATGTATAACATTTTATTTTATTGTAATGATAATATTGTATTGTACTTAATAGGTCATGTTCAAGAAAATGATCGGCGATGCTACTTACGGTCAAGTTTCGTTATTTTTTTCGCTCATAGGCCTATTGAACGCTGCGCTCCTCTGGCCAGTGTGTTTAGTTTTATACTTCTCCGAAGTCGAAATACTTCATTGGGACCGTTTGCCTTGGATGATACTATTATCTGCCAGCACGTTGTCATTGGGTACAAACAAATATCTGTATCTGCATCACACTGCCTCATAATTTTATATATATTACTATTTTCAGTCGCTAACTTACTGGGAAATTTGAGCGTTGCGTTCACTTACGACATTTTCATTACGTTTGGACTAATCACCGCGGTTCCCGTATCTGCAGGTAAATTTTTCCATCAGTCTAAATCACGAAAAACTTATATTATGTTTTTTGTACGAGTAATTACATCAAGTTTGACGTGTTTCGTGCTTATAAAACATAAATTGTGTATTAAAAATACATTTTTTATACACACGAAAACAATAATACATATTTGTCGTGATTAACTTGCCTAAAATATTATACGTATACCATACCTACCTACTATAAGTTTATCGAAATAATTTTTAGTAAACAATTGCATATAACAACTCTTTTTTTGTACACACGGCCTTTGTACTTTGCTTATTTTACTGTTTCAGCCATTGACATAACCATACATGATGTACAGTTTTATGGTATGAAACTTGCTGGCATCATACTTATATCAATTGGTTTCTTATTGGTCATGTTTCCTAACAACTGGCCAGAATACATTTTCCGATTACTCAGGTAAATTGCACATAAATATAAGATTCAATGCGAGCGGTTTAGGCATTTCTTACTACAGCGCTGGCAAATAAATCGGACGAAACACTCACCTTTTATGTTTTTAACAATTATTTTCAGGAATATAATACTACTGAGTCATAGCGCTAGGTGAGTGTAGCGTGAATCAAAAAAAAAAGCATGAATTTTTTTGTGGAAATTGTTGAAAGAGTGGACCAATATATACATAATATACTATTAATAATAATAATATAATAATAAGATGAATTGTAGCTTGGGGAAGGCCTTGTGATAGATGCTGCAGTAGTAGGGTTATAAAAAAGAAAAGAAGTGGTTGGCTAACAGCGTAAAAAATAGACGATATTACATATATTATTATGTGTATACTTTTAGCCGACCTTTATTTGATTATACGTCTAAATTACTCTGCAGAGGTCGGCGCGTGTTTCGTGTGCGTATGCGTGTGCGTGTGTGATACTTTAATAACAAAAATAATGATTTATGTGTTTAATATTATAATCTAATAACAATAATAATTAATGTAGTAAAAAATATTACACAGTAAAAATAGTATATAACTATATATATTATAGATGTGTAATAACGGTAATATCGATAATAATATATAATTACAAGATCGCTTCTATCCTGTTACGCGCAACCTCTTCTTTTTGTACCCCACGTGGGCGATATATTATATATATATTTATATATATATTATATTAAATACACTTTGCATGGCGATTTAGAACGGTAATTGCATGCGGTTTTTGGTGATGTAAAAAATAAATGTAAACAAATTAAAATATATACCAAAGATTGTTTAGATCACTGGTGCGAGTGCAAAAGATCGATTGAAAATGTAATTAGAACCCTTTCGATTGCGCCGCCAAGTGTGTCACATGTATGTACGTTCTGTCTATTGTTGTACCTACAGGTGGAGCCGGAAGAACCGGGGTTTGCCACCAAATCCACCAAAAGTGGAAATTGACTACCGGACCGGGTACATCAGATCGCATTTGCGATCTCCGTCCGGTCGGGTAAGGTGACCAACTACTACCGTTAGTGCCAATGCCGTTTACGTACCACGGAAGTCAACAACGTTATACGTCGCTATCGATAAATTGACCGGAAAACGTTGTAATAATAATAATAATAATAATAATAATAATTGTCATAAAAATTATTCATTGAATTTAGTCGCAATAGTTTTGCGAATGTTCCGATTTCATTTCTTAGCCATTTTACTTCTATATATATAAATAATAAATCTTAGAGACAGTGTTTGAATTAATATCAGTGTAGGGGTGAACTATAACTTTAAATTAATAGACGTACATTATCATAATTTGAATATGTGATAATCAGATTTTTTGGAATCAGATCAATTTTATTATTATTCCAATTCGAGCACACTTTAAAAGTATAATATTAAGACATATCCGTACAGCAGGTTCGTGTTTCGTGTATATTGTATAATATATTACTTTATTATGTACAATTGTTATTATTATAATTATTATTAGGTACCTACCTGTGTAGATAATGTTTGTCAACTGACAACAGAAATGAACAACATTTTACGATTTCTTTTACTTCTTGTTTAATATAAAATAAAACGTAATAAACTCGCGTATTCGTATGATATAGGTACTTACATATTATTATCTGTTTAAAATCACGTTAATGTAATTTATAATGTGTTTAAAAATGTATACTTATATACTGCGATGTCGCGCATTTATGAAGAATTGCAGGAAACATCTTGTGGATTAAAAAGACGACAATATATCCGTCCACGAGCAATACCATTGTATAATATTTGTGTTTTTACTATAAATACCTCTCATCCTCTCTCGGTTCACTTCTATGATAATTATCCTATAGGTATTTAGGTATTCTTATTTGTAACAACAGAAATAGTATAACCAACTTCTACATTACATGCGATCATTTTTCTTTGTATTGAAAATAAAAATCATGTAGACAATTGTACAAAAAATATAATGTATCTATATATGTTAATAATAAAAAATAATAAATGCATACTTAAGTTACTTTTAGACTACCTATTCATTTAGTCATTTTGAATATTTTGTACATCGTAAGTTCGTAAGCAATTAGACATTAGGTAGTTAAATAGTGAGTAGAGTAGACAAATGAACAAATTCTGTTTATTTAAGTAAGGACATAGTAAGCTTTAAAAGTTTAAAGTTATTGTCTTATATTCTTAAAAGTATTATTAATAAACTTTAAAATTGATATCTACCTTACGCTATGAATTTTCTCAAACAAAATGTTCTCTTTAATATTATAATGTTTAAAGTCATGTGACATTGCTTAGCTAGAAAACGAAGAATAAAAAATTTAATTTTTGACTTGATTTGTAAACAATTTTAAGTCTTTAATCTTTATAAAAAAAAAAGGATTAAAACAGTGTATCACACTATTATATCAATAAGTAATAATAATAAACTTACCCACGTCTTATATTTTAAGAACACGATATTGGGTAATATTAAACTTTATTGGTTTTTTATAATTAAAACATATTAAAATCTGTGTACGGAAAAGTTTGTGGTGGACAAAATTTAACAACGAGCACGGCAAAAAGAAGAAACATCGACGCGGACGGTACTAAACACTTCGTCCAAACCTGTTGACCAACGATGAGGATAATTTAATCTGCATCGAGTATTTCGAGCACTTAATAAATACGTATTACGTGCTAGCATTTAATATAATAGTCACTATAACCAATAGCGTAGCTAATACAGGAGCAATAGAAGCAATTATTGTCTAAGACAATAAGGGCGTAAAATTTCTTTCAGAATTTACATGTCTGATAAACTAATATGGGTAATGATAATTACCAAATATTTGATAGACTAATAATTATGTTTAAACTATTTCAATCGATACAGAGGCCTTTGGCACACATTTCAATAACACAGATACTAAATATCTATAAAAAATTGCAAAAATCGTAATTCATTATTTCTCCATAATATAAGATGAATTGACCCAATTAATGAATAAAATAATACGCAACTGTCTAACAAAATACGTTAATAATAATCAAAATAATTGGATGCTATATCGTAAAATGATAGTATTTTTATACAGTATACCAGCTGTATACGTCCCCACGCATTTACTAGATTAGGTATTCGCCTAGAACTTAATGTCCGGCACAACACAACAAAATCTATCCAACGGAAACTACCATAATAGCCCCATAAAAGATCAAAAGAATTAACACAATTACAAAATTATGAAAGTAATTGCCTAAATCGATAGAAATTGAACAAATTAAACAGACATATATCATGAAAAGATAGAATATCATTCTAAAATATGCACTAATAAATATTAAATCATAAGAAAAAAAAAAATTAAGTGAACCCCAACCTGATCTACTATACACTTAAACACAGAGACACACTTCATTATATAGTGTAGTGTTATTATTCTGAAGTTTTTTTTTTTAATTACAAATTTAGTGCTATAGACATGGTTTAAAGTGGGAAAATTCCAAAAGGGACTAATACCTCCATATAGTTTAAAACGTTCTATAATATATCGTTTTATGTTTAACGTCTAATGTACATAGACACATATAGTATATATGTTACGGCTAGAGTCCGAAATATGGCTAAAGTGCACATTATCCGGTAATGTGCACTTTAGCCATACTGGTTGGATAAAGTAAACACTTAACATTTAAAATCATAGTTTTGTACAAATTACCCGGCTAAAGTAACTTTAGTCATCGTGTTATGGCTAATGTAATTATATTTTATTTCAATAAAATTAATTAATATATGTTAATAATTACATATTAATAAACTACATGGTATTCCTATATTAACCTAATATTTTGAACATTAGCCATTGATCGATGGTAAAAATATGTCATTGTTAGGTGGTCAGGGTTATCAACGTTGTGTGTGTAAATCAAATTGCAAAACAAATAAATGCAAATTTAAAGCATCAAGAATTTTATGCAATTCAAAATTTCATCAAAGTTTACTATGTTCAAATAAATAGTAATATAAAAAATGTTGTCTAATAATTAGTGTTAATAATATCTAATAAAGATAAATTTAATATTGCATCAAATTTAGTTTATCAATATTTAATTTTTAACTTATATGTCATAACACGATGGCTAAAGTTACTTTAGCCGGGTAATTTATACAAAACTATGATTTTAAATGTTAAGTGTTTACTTAATCCTACCAGTATGACTAGAGTGCACAATATCCGGATAATGTGCACTTTAGCTATATTTCGGACTCTAGCCGTAACATATATAATGAATAAACAGTGATTTTGTTAGTGTATATACTTATCCCACTTTTAATTTTGAATAATGTTCAAATTATTAATTTATTTTATGAAAAATTTAAATCAGAAATAATACTTTTTTAAGAATAACTAATGTCTATATAAATTTAATATAAAAAAAAAAAAAAATTAATAAATATATATATATACTCGTATCTTTTATGATAATATTAAGTTGTAAGTAGAGAAACTAAAGAGACCAAGTTTGATAAGCATACTTAAATAGTTATAAATTCACACTTTATCTATATATGTATATATAAATATATAACATTTAACTTTACATAATATCATTATGTTATCAGCAAATCGAATACCTATATTAATCACAGTATATAATAACTAATAAAATAAATTATTTTTACACATATATTAGATAGTCCATATTTTGTATTAAATACATTTGATAAAATTAAAATAATAACTGATAAAAAAAAAAGAAAAAAAAATTAAAACCAAGATTTAATCTAAACGAAATTCTGAATTATATAGATTATAAAGTTTGGTTAAAACTGAAGCGTTCCGGTTTCATAGACGTGCGTCTCCCTCCAATTTAACCCCTGGTAATATATACCCATTATACAATTTTATTCCGTAAAATAAAGATTATTGTTATTATTGTTATTGTAATTATTTATTTTTTATTATTTTATTTAATGAATAATATACACGATATTAAGTACTTAAATATTTAATTTGTAATATGATTTTTAACTTTACTCGAATTACGTTGATTATTTGAAATCAGTCAAGTATTGCACAGGTAATATACAAGTTAAAATAGACTGAACTTTTCTATAATTTTGATTTTAAAATTCTACAATAAATTATTAATATTTTTAATGAATATTCTATTGTTTTTTAATTATTTTTTTAAATAGTATTATTTAATTTTCAAAAAAACCAATACACAAACAGAAAATTGAATTCCTAACAACAGATCATTATAAAATATTGTCAATAAATTCTTGTAAATTTAAAAAAATTCTTATATTTTTATAACAGTTAAAATTATTAAATCGTAAAATAAATTTACACCAAAATACTTATTAAAATATTTTACGTTTGTCTAATTTTAAGCTTACAAAATAATATTAAATTATGAAAATTCGTTAAATATTCTTGTACAATAATAATTACCAAGCTGTATACAATGTTAAAGTTAAAAAAAAAAAAATGTTTTTCAAAGTTTTAAATATAATCAATGATACTATTATGAAAAAAAAAGAATAACTTACACATACAGTATCACAATGTTTTAGAATTATGTTTCGAAATTGCTTATTATTTTAGCACGACTAAACTGCAATACTATTACTATTAAAATATTCGTGTATTAATATTAATGTGTATGATCAGCGAACACCTAAAAAAATGCTGTTGTATTATTTTATCTAAAATGAATTGCTTAAATACATAAATAAAATTGATGAATAAAAACTTAAACATACTGTTAATAAAAAAAAATATATATCATTATCAATAATGTTACAAAAAGTGACTTTGTGTTCAGTTTTATTTTAAATGATAAAAACAAATTGTTAATTTATTGCTCGTTACATTCGTACGGAAATCATAGTAATCATACAATTCGTTTCGTTACCTATTGAAAAATACCTATTATATTGAAAACTAATTATTGTAAACGGTGAAAAAAAAAAAAAATGAAGAATTTCGATTAATCGTATAAAACCAACGCGATACGACAAAGAAATCGTCTAACACGACGGTCCGGGACTCCAGAGGATATTCGTATTGCGATCTTGGTCGCCACGACCGCGACCGCGACCGCGACCGCGACCACGGCCACCGTCACGAACGAGTCTGCGGTCACCGTGAACGAACCTTTTTAACTCGGCTATCCTGTGCTGCATTAAAAAAACGTGTTCAAACGTGATTTGGTGGAGATCATATCCGGCCTGCGATCCGGAAAATATAACGTTGCAAAATTGACAATAAAACTTGTTATCCCGTTTGTCGCAAACGCTGCAAGGCATTATGCGGTTACTGGCCTCCTCGTCACAGTAATGGCACACGAGGCATAAGTAGAGCAGAGTTCTGCGGCCGTTCTCGTAGAAATCTTTCATCACCCAACGCATGACGATCATCACCGACTCTACACTTGTGCCGAGCATCTCGAACCTGTGCTTGTAGCTATCCAGGCTGACGCTATCGTGCTTGTAGCTATCCAGGCTGACGCTATCGTGCGTACGCTCGTGTTGTCTGTGCTCGCCCCACTTTAAGCACATAATCATGTTGCACTCTATGCAGAAATACGACACGTATTCGTCATTCCCCTCGACGCTGACCTTGTGTTGCACAGTGGTCACGTGAGATTCAATGTGTTCCAACGTGTTTCGGGTAGCGCACGGGTAGCAATAAAAATGCGGTACACAGTTGTGCGGGAAAATTCTCGTCACCCCACACGCGTTTGTCGCGTGCGTGGACGGGTATCCGGTGCGCGGCCAC